AGATGCCACCTCCGACAGATGTTAAAGCCGTGAGCAGACTAAACGGGATGGTGAATTACCTCAGCCGCTTCCTTCCACGACTAGCCGAAGTAATGGTTCCTATCCGAAAACTTACACATAAGGGCGAGAGCTGGCAGTGGAACACAGAACAGGAGGAGGCTTTCCAGAACATCAAACAACTGATCGCGTGCACCCCTGTCCTAGCGTATTACGATCCGTCACTTCCCCTTGAGATCCAGTGTGACAGCAGCCAATTCGGTATCGGTGCCGTGCTAATGCAGAACGGGAAGCCCATCGATTTTCGCAGTCGGACACTAACGGAATCCGAGCGCCGTTATGCACAGATTGAAAAGGAGATGCTAGCATTGGTTTATGCCGTAGAGCGTTTCAACGATTACACTTTTGGTCGCCGGACCACTGTATTTACCGATCACAAGCCTCTGGTATCAATAGCCAATAAACCACTGCACGTCGTCCCACGCCGCTTACAACGAATGCTCATTCGGCTCCAGAAGTACGACCTAGACATCGTCTACCAACCGGGGTCGAGGATGTACATTGCAGACACACTGTCTAGGGCATATCTTTCCGATGTGACCGCAACGCAAGAAGACCAAGACATTGTCCATGTCACTCAGCTATTGGCCGTCACAGAGGAGCGTTTCCAGCAACTACTACGCCACACCGAAGCAGACGAGCTGTGTAATCGGCTCAAGGAAACGATACTGAAAGGGTGGCCCGATAGTAAAAACAAGCTGCCAAAGGAGTTGACTCCCTTCTTTAACTTTCGGGATGAACTTGTCACACAGGATGGGCTAATCTTCAAAGGCAACCGTATACTCGTTCCAAAGGCAATGCAACGACCCATGCTGGAGCTGATACACGGAAGTCATTCAGGAGTCAATGCTTGCGTGGCGAGAGCTCGAGAGCTAATGTTTTGGCCTGGAATGACTAGTCAGATACGGGATCACGTTTCAAACTGCTTAGCCTGTCGAGCACATGATGTCCGCCAGCCGAAGGAGCCTATGATGCTTCGTGAGGTCCCGGAAAGGCCGTGGCAGAAAGTCGCCCTAGACATCTTTGCACATGACGGAAAGAATTACCTGATCGCTGTCGATTACTTTAGCGACTATTTCGAGATTGATGCTCTCACGTCTACTAGCACACAGGCCGTGATAAACAAGCTACGATCGCAGTTTGCGCGACATGGGATACCGGAAGAGGTAGTGTCCGACAATGGCCCCCAATTCAACAGCGCCGAATTTCGGAGTTTCAGCGAAAAGTGGGATTTCCTTCATCGTTAAACCAGCCCTTACCACAGTCAGTCAAATGGAAAAGCTGAGTCAGCCGTGAAGGAAGCAAAGAAGTTACTCACCAAAGCCAAGGAGACCAAAGAAGATCCTTACATCATGTTGTTAGAACGAAGGAACATGCCATCTGCCGAAATTGGATGCAGTCCAGCGCAACGTCTGTTTGGCCGTAGGACAAGAACCCTGTTGCCGATCGCCAATACTCTGCTGCAGCCTGAAATACCATCGCAGAGCTTGATGTATGAGCGCTTGCGTGAGCGCATGTTTCGACAAAAGAAATATTACGATCGCGGAACGAAGCAGCTTCCACGCCTGTTGCCCGGAGACGAGGTCTGGGTCGCGCCGACACCGGGAGCTAACGGGTCTTGGAGGAGAGGGCGAGTGGAAGGTCTCAAAGGCGAACGAAGCTACGACGTAAGAGTTGGGGATAGTCTATTCCGACGCAACCGGGTGCAGTTAAGGAGACAACGTGGTGAACAAGCACGGCATCGTGCGAAGCAGCCAACGCAGCCGGACATTTCGGTGGATACGGCAGCACACGACCACAAGACTACACGCAGTGGAAGGCGATACAGCGCTTACGCAATCGGACTACAAAAAAAAACGAAAAAAGGAAGGATGTGATGGTATGACACTACATTTAGATGCCCGTTGCATAGCGATCGGTCGAGCTTAACGATTTTGGGTCAACGGTCTGAAAGCTGGTCAATCGCTGCAGAGGCGAACTGAAGGTTAGCATGCAATCGATTTCTATCGACATTGAACGAAACTCGAACGCTGGCTGAGAATGTAATAGAAAGGAGATTTGTTTTGCGAATGATTCTAATTGACTCGAGATATAAAATGAGTTTGCGTTCTATGAATAATGAATTTCTGATCGAGGCCCAGACTTGGACTTTTTGATGCACTGAGGGCC